GTGGCTGGGAAAGATTTCTTTCTCGGTCTGTTGCTACATGTGCAGGAGGGAGAGCAGGAGGGGCTTGAGACTTCAGGTGACAGAAGCTACTGATGGCGACTTCAGATAAGTGAATAAGGAGCAGGGCTACTATGGGGGTGACGACATGGAACACAGCCAGGGACCCTGCCTCGGTGTTACCTCCAGCCTGGAGCTCCTGTGAGGCTGGCACCTAGACAGAGCCTTGGATGGGTCGGTGGCATCCAGATGGGGGCTGCCTGGCAGGGGCTCTGGGGCCCGGGGTGGATGAATCAAGAGTCCCCTCACCTGTTCCATGTGTGCCCAGCTTGAGGCCCAAGAGGGGCAGGTGAGGGAACTCCAGGAAGAGGGTAGCAGGCTGCGGGGGGTCAGGGCAGTTGAGGAAGAGATTGATGGGTACTTCCACACTTTGCAGGACCGCACATGTGGTGGGATGGCAACATAGGAGGGATTTGATGTGGATGGATGGAAGACTGTCACCTCCAGATCATTTGAGCTGGGATCATTTGAGCCCAGTTTTTTCTCCTGCCCAGGCAGGGGGTCGGACTTGAAGATCTATAAGGTCCCTTCTGACCCAACTTCTATGGTTCCAGAACTGGATGTTGCAGAACTAGATGTTGCACTGCTGGAGCGATTCTCCCAGTGCAGCTGAGGAATAGATACAAGGCCCTCGCATCACTGGAAGAGAGTGCAGCAATGGAGGCTGTGTCCACAGGTACCACCAGGCAGACTGAGGGACACCCGGGCATCCAGAAGAGAAGACATTGGGTCATCGTAGTGCGTGACTCCCTCCTGAGAGGAACAGAAGGAGCCATCTGCCGCCTGGATCCCACAGTACGGGAGGCTTGCTGCCTGCCCAGAGCTTGGATTCAAGATGTCACAGCGAGGATTCCAGACCTACTCAGGCCCACCGACTACTATCCCATGGTCCTCATCCATGTGGGAATGAATTATGAGGCCCAGGGTAGAGCGGGTCGGGTCATGAGTGACTACATGGTTCTGGGAGCCAGGTTTAGAGTTTTGGGGGCACAAGTAGTCTACTCATCTATCCTCCTAGTCAGCGGTCACAGCCAGAACCACAGCAGCTGCATTGCCGAGGTCAACTCACAACTTCAAAGTTGGTACCATCGTGCGGGGTTCGGCTTCCTAGACCATAATGTGTGGTTCTAGGATAGGGCCTTGCTGGGGCGTGATGGTCTACATCTTTCTCCAAAAGGTAAGTAATAAGGAGCCCACTAAGCATCGGGATAAGGGAGCACTAAGGGCATCTATTAGGGGACTTAAGTGTCTCTATACTAATGCTAGGAGTATAGGAAATAAGTGGGAGAAACTCGTACTCCTGCTTGCAAACAAAGATTTGGACCTGGTTGGGCTAACAGGAACCTAGTGGGAACTTACCCATGATTGGGCAGTGGGCATTGAGGGCTACAGGCTATGCAGGCAAGATAGTTTGGGGGAAAAAAAGGAGAGGGGCATTGCTCTATATGTTAAGGAACATTGTACATCTTCTGTAATAAAGATGGGGACAGAAGAAGGGCAGATTGAAGTCCTATGGATCAGATTACAAGGGGGTAAGGGTGAAAGGGACTGGTAGTGGGGGTCTACTATAGACCCCCACACCAGGAGGAAGAGTTAGACCTAGAATTCTAGATAGATAACTAGTAGGGCAGAAGTGCTAGATTTCTGGAAGGCCAACTTCAACAAGCTCAGGAGATGAGTTAGAGTGGGACTGAAGGGTAATAATGGTGATTTGGGAGTCCAGGAAGGGTGGGAGTTCCTCAAGGGACTGATCCTACAGACATAGGGGGGTACCATCTCAGTACACATAAAGTGAGGCAAAAGAGCCAAGAAACACTCTTGGCTGAGTAGGAATATCCAGGAGAGCCTAGAGGGGAAAAGAGAGGCTTACAGGCTGTGGAAGCAGGGGGCAGCCACCAAGGAGAAGTATACCTGTTTCGCTCGTGTTTGCAGGGAAGCAGTGAGGAAGACCAAAGCAAAAACAGAACTCAGGCTGGCAGCAAGGATTAAAGGTAACAAAAAGTCCTTCTTTAAGTACATAGGAACCAAGAAGAAGGTGCAGGGTAACATAGGACTTCTACAGGATGGACAAAGGCAACTCGTAACAGATAGGATGGAGAAAGCTGAGCTCTTAAACAATTTCTTTGCATCTGTTCCTGGATACAGATACAAGCCCACCTCCCAGTGAGACTTTAGTCTGGCATGAGAGAGATACCAATCCACCAACGGTCAGTGCTGACCTAGTGAAGGGGCACTTGGAAGAGCTGAATGTATTCAAGTCAGCAGGCCCCAATGATCTTCACCGAAGGGTACTAAAGGAATTGGCTGGTGTCATAGTGAAACCATTGGTGCAACTGTATGAGCGCTCATGGTGCTCAGGACAGGTCCCAGAGGACTGGAAAAGGGCCAATATGGTCCCTATTTTCAAGAAGGAGAGGAAGGAGCACCCGGGTAGTTATAGGCCAGTTAGCCTCACTTCTTTTCTTGTCAAGACCTTAGAAAAAATCATTAAGGATCACATTTATGGGGGGCCAGCAGGTAACACAATGCTAAGGGGCAACCAACATGGGTTTATAGCAGGCAGATCCTGCCTCACTAACCTGGTTTCTTTTTATGGGCTTGTCACCAAGTGCTTAGATGCAGTAGAGGTAGATGTTATTTACTTGGATTTTTAAAAGGCTTCCAACACAGTGTCGCATCCAATTCTTATAAATTAAGTAGCTGTGATGTGGATTTTTTCAGTCAGGTGGGTGGAAAACTGACTTATGGGACATACCCAAAGAGGTGCATGGGGCGGTTTCTTCCTGGAGAGATGTGGGCACTGGTATCCCCTAAGGCTCTGTTTTTGGACCAGTGCTGTTCAGTACGTTCATCAGTGATTTGGATGAGGGTGAATTTGCACTCTGTCCAAATTCGCAGACAACGCCAAACTATGGGGTATAGTACACACAATAGAGGGTAGGGAACTAATTCAGGCAGATTTAGACAGACTGGTGAAGTGGGCAGATCAGAATAGGATGCAATTTAACAATGAGAAGTGCAAGGTGCTGCACCTGGGGAGCAAGAATCCTACAGATTGAGAAGTACCATTCTAAGTAGCACAGTAGCAGAAAGGGATCACTTCAGCTGCATACTGCTTTTCCTGGCCAGTGCCTACCCGGCTGGGTCCGTTCCATCCGCAGCAGCATGCGGCTGAAGCCGGGTTGCCGAGTGCTGCTGGGGACAGGAGGAGCCCAGCTGGGTCTGCACCGGCCAGCAGAAGTGGTGGCGGAGCCGTGTGCCACTCGAGACTGACCGGTGCAGGTAGGGGAAAGTGCAGCTGAGCCCCTGCTGCTCCAGCTGGGCTCATTCTGTCCTGAGCAGCACATAGTTACTCCTCTTCCCATACGCCACTGCGTTGGCGGCGTAAAGCTGATGCGGTGCATGTGGGAACCTTGTTTCTTCCCCAGCCCTTCAGCAGCCATTAGGAAGCTGCTGAGGAATTGGGGAGGGACAAGGGGTGGGAATGAAAGTAAACAATGTTTACTTTCATTTCCCGTCGCAGCACCGCGGGCCTCAGAAAATGGCTTGGCGGGCTGCACGGCGGCCCGCGGGCCATATGTTGGACAAGCCTGATCTAACAGGTCCCTTCCAACTCTAGAAATCTATGAAGCATTTCTAGGGATTTTTATTTCTATGCAAGTTTACTAGTATTTCTTCATAAATGTTATTCAACATACGATAAAACACAGAGAGTACGTTTTCCTGAGCATGTGAGGTACATTGTCTCTATGGGAAGCCTCTTCATGTTGGATCCAAAATGGTAGTTTAAAAACCTCTCCATGGGCATTCTTACTTCAGGCAGCACCTTGTGGTGCCAAACCCAGATGCTTTAACACATAAAAAGTGCACTCTGTTGCATGCACCTGGCAAAATTAATTATTCAGTAAAATGTTTTTTTGGTGGAGCAGTAGTTAATAGAAGAGTGGCAGATGTCATACACAGAAGTGTCCATTTCAGTGTGTTACTTTATAGTCTGTTGTGACAGCTAAATGAAGCAGCTCAACGTCTGTCAGCACGTTAACATTTTGGATTACAGAAAATACCCTTGAAAGAACTTTCCTCTAATTTTCAAGATGTAATAGCTAAGAAGGAATTCTCCTTCCTAGAAAAAGTTTGTTCAAACTGTCATCCAGATAAAACAGATAAAGAACAGTATTGAAACAGGACACAGACTGAGTTGCTTTAGTTTGTTCTTGTAGCATTGTCCATCTTGACCTTAATTGTCCTCTAAACACCACAGCATCAAGCAAAGCAGATTTAAAGGATGGGTGTCAAGACATGCTTTCCTGGAGGTTTTATGTTGTTCTTTCATCCTAGTATTAAAGACTTACAAAATACATGTGGTAATATATAGGTTTCTTATGTTTTGATAATGTTAAGTCCTTTGAATTCTGGAACTTGTGTCCAGTTTTGGGCCCCACACTCTAAGAAGGAAGTGGACAAATTGGAAAGAGTCCAGTGCTGAGTTACAAAAAGTATGAAGGGCCTGGGAAGCATGACTCATGAAGAAAGGCAGAATGAATTAGGGTTATTCAATGTGAAGAAGAGAAGACTGAGGGAAGATTTGATTACAGTCTTCAAATGTCTGAAGGGCAACTACAGAGTGGGTGGAAATGGGCTTTGTCTGTGGCTATAGGGGATAGGACTAGGCACAATGGCTTCAAGTGGCAGCAGAGGACATTTAGGTTGGAGACTAGGAGGAACTTTCTGATTCTGAAGTTGGTCACACATTGGAACAGACTATCTGGAGAGCCTGTGGAATCACCATCCTTGGAAATTTTCAAGAGCAGGTTGTACAAACACTTGGCTGGGACGGTTTATTCAGGGATGTGTTCTGCATTGAGCAGGTTGCTGGACTAGTTGACTACTGAGGTCTCTTCCAGCCCTACTTTCCTGTGATGCTAAAAGCCATACTTACTGTTTGGTGGCCAAGGCTGTATTCTAATCTTGGTTGTACACCAGTATTTAAACAGGAAGTTGACATTGTGAATGGAGGACAGTAGAATACACAGAGGTAAATGGTTGTGTTGTTCCTGGTGGACTGCAAAGAAGTATGAGACGGCAAATGGAAGACTGTTAAATAGCACATAGCACAGATGCATCAGCATGAATAGCCTCTGCAAATCACTACACTTGAACTTATAGTTTCATAGTGTCTAGGGTCAGAAGGGAACTGAACAGATCATCATGTCTGACCCCATGCCCTGGGCAGGAACGAGT